TATATTTATAAGATCAAGGTTTTGACCTCTGTACTGAGTCATTTTCAGTCTTTTGCAATAAATATGTTTTCTCAAAGTTCAGTATCATGTTTATTATATACAGTACATTACACTGTGCTGTTCACGCCAGTGCTGACTGGGCTGCGAGCTGGGGGTGGGAGGGGAGGCATGGTCAGACAGGAGGGTCTTGAGACAGACCTTGACAGCAGTGAGGGAGGGAGCGAGGCTGAGGGGCTCAGGATGGAGGTCTAGAGATGGGGGGGGGGGGGGGGCTGACCACCAATGTACAATTCCCAAGTTTACAGATGATACTAAGCTGGAAAAGCAGTAAACAGTGAGGAAATGGCCATAGACAGACTGGTAACACGGGCAGACACGGGGCAGATGAAGTTTAATGGGGAGAAATGCAAAGTGATCCATTTTGGGAGGAGGAATGAGGAGAGGAATATAAGCTGATGGGACAATCTTAAAGGGGTGAAGGGACAGAGAGACCTGGGGGTCATATAGTAAATCTCTGAAGGTGACGGGACAGGGAGATACAGCTGTTAAAAAAGCATCCGGACACGAGGCTTTATAATTAGGGCCATAGAGTACACAAGTCAGGAAGTCACGATGAAGCTCTATATAAAACACTGGTGAGGCCTCAGCTCGAGACTGGGTTCAGTTCTGGGCCCCACACGTTAGGAAGGATGTCAAGGCATTGGAGAGGAAGCAAAGGAGATTGACCAGAATGGCACCAGGAATGAGGGACCTCAGTTATCAGGAGAGGTTAGAGCAGCGAAGATTGTTCTCCTTGGAGCAGAGAAGGGTAAGAGGAGACTTGATAGAAGTTTTCAAAATTGATGAGGTGATTTGATAGGGTGAACAGGAGAAACTATTCCCACTGGCGGGTGGGTCGGTAACCCGAGGGCACTGATTTAATATAGTTGTTAAAAGAAACAGAGAGGAGGGGAGGGGAGGAGAAATGTTTTCACAGAGAGTTGTTGGGATCTGGAATCATTGCCTGAAAGGCCGGTGGGAGCCGATTCCAAAACAACCTTTAAGAGATAAATAGACAATTATTTGAGGAGGAAATGTTTGCAGGGCCATGGGGAGAGAGCGGGGGAGTGGGGTTGATCAGAGCAATGGGGAGAGAGCGGGGGAGTGGGGTTGATCAGAGCAATGGGGAGAGAGGGGGGAGTGGGGTTGATCAGAGCAATGGGGAGAGAGGGGGGAGTGGGGTTGATCAGAGCAATGGGGAGAGAGCGGGGGAGTGGGGTTGATCAGAGCAATGGGGAGAGAGGGGGGAGTGGGGTTGATCAGGGCTATGGGGGGAAGAGGGAGAGTGGGGTTGATCAGGGCTATGGGGAGTGGGGGAGTGGGGTTGATCAGGGTTATGGGGTGTGGGAGAGTCTGTGCTGCCAACTCGTCCCACTCCCCCGTTCTTATCTCGCAGCACTGCACATTTTTCCTTTTCAAGTCTTTATCCAATTCCCTTTTGAAAGTTTTATTCAATCTGATCCCCCCCCCTCAGACTATTCAAAACTGTAACAGCTCTCTGGGCTCCCCTTTGCCAATTATTTTAAACCCGGCAATTTTTCCAACTGGGTGCAGAGTGAGGGCGATATTTACGGTTTTCCTTATTTAATGCCAGTGATTCCCACACGCTCCAGTTGCTGTTATACCAGTCAGGTTAGAGTATAAGGGATACGGGCAAAGGCGGGTCATTGGAGTTGAGGTGCAGATCAGCCGTGATCAGATAGACTAGAATGGCAGAATAAGCTCGAGGGGCTGAATGGCCTCCTCCTGTTCCTATGTTTCATTTGCAAAAGTCCAGGATCAAGCCGTGAGGTGGATTTTCGAGCTAAGTCCTCCCACCACACTGAAGGCAGATGCTCACCAGACAGGTAATGAGGAAATTGTTGCCGGGGGGTGGGGGGGCACACAGCTGCTGGAAGGTGTGACCTGGAGTCTGAGCTCAGCAAGAACCCACGTTCGTACGTCCAGAGTCCATCACGAATAATGGCTACTTGAGAGACGTTTAAACAGCGTCGTGGTGAAGTGCGGTGACTATTTTATCGGCGAGCACAGCAGCTGGAGTTTCTCTCTCTCTCCTGGTGTCCGAGCCAATTTGGCACCAGGAGAGAGAGAGAGAAACTCCCTTCACCCTTCAAATACGACTGTGAGATCTTTGACGTCCACCCGATCAGCACAGACAAGTCTCACCCGAAGGCTGGCGTCTCTGACTCAATAAAAAATGATGGCGGTGATGAAAACCAAGCAACCACTGAAATGGAAAGATGGGGGGAAATAGAGGGGGGGGGGGGGGTGGGCACTGCTCTCTGGGGGGAGAACACTGCTCTCGGGGTGGGTGGGTGGGGGGGGGGTGGAGAACACTATTCTCTGGAGGTTACACTGCCTCAAAAATAGCCTCAAAAGATTGAAAACATCCACTTGGCTGCATCGTCCTCACCCCCCACCCCCACCCCACCCTCATGTCCCCTTCCTCCCCACCCACACCATCCACACCGCCTCCTCCCTCTGCCACGGCTCCTGTCGCTCCCTCCTCCTTACACCCCTTTGCCGCCATTTCTCCCTCCCTCTCAACCACAATCACCCGCATGAAGTTCACCACCTGCTGCCTCGACCCCCTCCTCACCAGCTGCTGGTCACTGAACTCCCCCTCCTCTCCCCCTGCCGGCCGACACGGTCAACTGGTCTCTCTCCTCAGGCTCTGATCCCCTCCCCCTGAAAACCGCTGTCATCACCCCCTCCTCAAACCCCACCCTGGATGCCTCTAATCTCTCACACTCGCGTCCCATCTCTAACCTGCCCTTCCTGGCCAAAGTCCTGGGACACATTGTTGCAGGTTAACTTGGGCCACACCTCTCCCCCCACTCCCTCCTCGAGCCCCTCCAGGCTGGTTGTCGCCCTGACTGCCCACAGCCCAGAGACAGCGCTTGTGAAAGTTCTCTCTATCTGTGCCCAGGGCTCCCTCTGCCTCCTCGCCCTCCTGGACCTCTTTGCCACGTTCCACACAGTCGCCCACGCCATCCTCCTCCATCGCCTCTACTCCCTCATCTACCTTAGTGGGACCCAATCACATGGTTCAAGGCCGACTTAACCGACCGCCTGCATTTCATCTCAGCAAATGGTTTCTCCTCCTCCCGCCCCCCCAGTCACCTGTGGGGTGGCCCCAGGGCTCCATTCTTGGCTCTTCTTTTCCTGATCTATAAGCTCACTCTGGGTGATGCCATCCGCAGACATGGGGTAAACTTCCACCTGTTTGTGGACGACGCACAGATCTACTTTGCCCCCATCACCAACCCCAGGTCCCCCGATGCTCTATCAGCGTGTCTGGCAGACATCAGGGCCTGGATGAGTGTAAACTTGCTGCAGCTGAATATGGACAAGACGGAAGCCATATTCCTTGGCTCCCATCAACCCCTTCACTCCTGTGGTTCTAATCTCCTCAACCTCCCTGGGCTCTCCCTCACACTCACCAAACCAGTGCGTAACCTCGGCGTCCGCTTCGACCCCCAGCTGTCCTTCCTCCCCCACATCCGGTCCCTGACCAGAAACTGCCTTCCTCCACCTCCTCCACATCGCCCTCCACTGACCGTACTTTACCCCAAACGCCGCCCAAACCCTGGTGCATGTGTTTGTCACCTCCCGCCTGGATTACTCCAACCCCCTCCTCGCCGGTCTCCCCATCTCCACCATTCACAAGACAGCTCATTCAGACTCTGGCCGCCCACATACTGACCCCAACCAAACTCCCACACCCACATCTCCCCAACTCTGGCCCAGGCTCCACTGGCTCCCATCACCAACACATCCACTTCAAGCTCCTCACTCTCGTGTTCAAATCCCTTCACTCCCTGACCCCTCCCTCCCTCCCTCCCCCCGGCCTCCTCACTCCCAATCCACCACCGGCACCTCCGCTCGTCTGGCACCGGCTCCTGCCCGTCCCTCGCACCCCCGCCCCACCATCGGAGGTCGTGCTTTCAGCCTCTATGCCCTGAAACTCTGGAACACTCTCCCTCAATCCCCCGCCATGACCCCTCTCTCCCCTCTTTCAAGTCTCGCCTGAAGACTTTCCTCTTCAACCGTGCTCACAGACCCCTCCCATGGCTCGGAGTCAGGCTCTGCCCTGTAAGCGCCCTGAGGCGCTGCCCTGCGTGGAGGGTGCTATATAAGTGCAAGTTGTTGTTGTGGCTTTCAAGACGAGGATTTTGAACTCTTTTTGAGAAGTCTCAAAGTTCATCACAGACTGTAGTGTAAGTGTTGTGACTGTGTATTTTTGTGGTGACACGTGGCAGCCAATTGCACACAGCAGTCAGTGTCCCATAAACAGCTGTGGATTGAGTGACCAATTATTATTGTTATGAAGGGATTATTAGCCCCAGAAAGCGATCCGCCAATCGATTAACAAGCGGGTTCCTACTTACTGCTGGACAAACAGATGTGTAGAGTAAGGAAACTTGCCTAAGGTTCCTCCTCCGCCCGGGAATTCATCCCGGCTCCTCTCACTTACCGAGGCAAGTGCTCTAACCACTGGACAATAACATGGCAAATAAAAGATATAAAAACAAACACTTGTGTTTGATACGGTTCCTCATCACATATTGAATCATCTCAACGACAACAAGTTGCATTTACACAGCTCCTTCACAAGGGTTTGTGTCTCGCAGCACCTCACAGGATGCATCTGAAAGTGTAGTGATTGTGTGTTTCATAGCCAAATGTGGCAGCCAATCTGCACAGTCCAGGCATGCTAGTATCCAGTAAATGTGTGAATAGAGACGAGCGAGCCAGAGAGATCTGCCGCTCACGAGATCCCGTGACCTTTCGCCAGTTGAATTGAATCACTGGGATGAGACACATCCATTTACCATCAACAGCAGCAGCTTACATTGACACAACGCCCTTCACGGTGGGGTAGCGGCCCGGAACGCTTGACAGTGGCGAGTTTGACCCCGAGCCAGAGGGAGGGGGAGTCGGAGGCGACCGTAAGCAAA